TTCTTGAACCTTGTTGCCACTTAAACAATATAGAAGGAGACTGTGGTCAAGTGAGTGAGAATATTCAACTGAGTAGCCAATATAAGAGTAATAATTTCTAAGCACTCATGTTAAGCAAGAGCGGAGTAAAGACAACGCATATATGGAAAGAAACAAAAGCTGGATAAAATTTCCCGTACCTTCGTCGTTTAGACCTAAAGCAATTTCTGGATTTTATCAGTTAGCAAAAGGTCAGTTCAACCAACAACTCGCACAGTCAGCAAGAAAGCAATGTCCCGGGTATATGTCGAGATGGGCACTCAGTAATTTATAACTCGAACTATTATTGATACGAGGCAAAATACGTTACAACGACGTTATCCCAATATTACAACATTACAACACTAGCTGCGACTAGTTTACAAACACAACCTCGCTATTCTAGGCTTTGCTAAACTCTCTCAAATTTTCTCTAGCTTTTCTAAGCTTTCACTCATATTCTATCTCATTCATATTTTTTCTTATGTATTACATATATTAATGCTAAAGACATATATTTATAAGGGTAATTAACCTCCTTAATGAAAGATCTAGGCATTTCCAAATTCTTGTATTGTCACATGGAGTTCCTTCTCTTAATGAAATTCCCTTCCATCATCAATTGTCACATGTTTATTTTCAATGCTTAGTTCTTAAGTAATTCAAGAAGCTTCCACGTCGAAATGCTTAATTGTTAAGCATGTACCTACTGCCACCTTTCTTGACTTTTCAATATTTAGAAATCAAGTTTGATTTCTAACACTCCCCCTCAAACTTGATTTTCTATTCCGAGTTTTTTTCCACTTGTCTTCTCCAATCGATTCTTCATTTGTTATGAGATCACTCTTTGCAAAGAGGCTGAATAGTGAAATATTATTTAATTCATAATCGTTGTACCTTTATGATATTCTTCTCTCTTGTAGATCTTCGAACTTCTGTGGGAGGTGCTTCAGAATTTTCTATTATGTTGATAGGATTGCTACTGCTGCTTGACGATGATGGTACATTTTGTTGAGGACCTTGATCATCAACTTGTTCATCTTGATTGATAAGATCGTCATCTTTATCTTCATTAAAAAATAGTCCTTCAACTTTCTTTTCCTCTTTGCTTCATCTCTAATATTCTGTTTCATCGAACTCGATATATCTTAAATTATTATCTTCTTGGTAAGATGATTATATAATCTGTAAGCTTTGCTTCTTTCATCATAGCCAATGAAAATACATTTTTCTCCTCTGTCATCAAGCTTCTTTCTGGTCTGTTCAGGAATGTGGCATATGCAATGCATCCAAAAATCTTGAGGTGTCCAACTCCTGGTTTTTGTCCACTCCATGCTTCATTTTGCGTCATATACTTCACACTTTTTGTTGGACATCGGTTCAATAGGTAAACCGCACATCGAACTGTTTCAGCCCAAAAATTTCTTGGTAGATATTTACCTTTTATCATGCTTCTTGCCATGTCTAGGATTGTGCGGTTTTTTCTTTCTGCAACTCCATTTTGTTGTGGTGTGTATCTAACTGTCAGCTGATGGATGATGACATTCTCTTTACAGAATTCTTTAAATAACATTGATATATATTCGCCTCCTCTATCTGATCTGAGTATCTTCAAATATTGACCGCTTTGCTTTGCCGCCATTGCTTTAAATTCTTTCAATTTTTCCAGCGCTTTTGACTTTTCTTTCAATATATAAATCCAACATTTTCTACTAAAATCATCAATAAAGTTAGGTAGTACCTGTTACCGCCAAGCGATGGTATATCAAAAGGACCGGCTATATCTATGTGTACTATCTCCAGCGGTCTTCGGGCACGCCAAGATCTACCAACTTCAAAGCTTTGTCTATGTTTCTTTCCTTTAATGCAAGCCTCACATAATTGATTTGGAGGGTTGATCTCTGGTGGTCCTTTCACCATACTTGTTTTTTATAACAGCTTCAATCCAGAAAATCCAAGATGTTCATATCTTAGATGACATAGCCATGAATCATCTTTGATTGCGATCTTCATGCACTTGACTTCTCCTGATTTTATATCAATTGTAAAGAGACGATTTCGAGTCATATCATCTTGGGCTATCAATTCTCCTTCTTTATTTTTTATGGCAAGCGGGCGATTCTTCATTTGCACTTAATATCCTTTTTTCAGGAGTTGACCAAGACTGATGATATTGCTTTTCAAAGAAGGTACATAATAAACATCTGAAATGTATTTCTTTTCTCCATTTCTCTGAGTAATCATGACTTCGCCTTTTCCTTTTAGTTATGCGTACGAGTCATCTTCGAAAGTTACTCGCCCATAGACTGTTTCATCTAATTTCACAAACAGTGTCTTTTAACCACACATATGATTGCTGACACAATTATCAAGATACCAAATATTTTTCTAGAATTCTTTATTTCCTTTATAAGTGAGGAATACATGAGATTTTTCAATTTTTGTACCTGAGATTTATTTTCTTGTTGATATCTGCCTCTACCTCAGCCTCTGAATCCTCGTCCACGGCCTGATGTTGGATTGTTTTCACTTATTTGATCGGTGTTATATGATCGACCACCACATTCACGAGTTCCTCGTCCTCATCTGTATCTTCCAAAATAACCACCACGATTTCCTCGACCTCGTATGTAGCTACTGCTAGCTTTTCCTTCATTGACATTCATCTTGCTTTGTAGAGCTTGCTCTAAATTTTCAGAATCTTCATTTTATTTCATTTTCTGCTCATGGGCTTGAAGGGAACCCACAAGCTCATCGATCGATATTTGGGATAAATCTTTCGATTCTTCGATTGTCACAACCACATAATCGAATTTTCTTGTTAATGAACGCAAATTTTTTTCCATCACTCTAACCTCGTCGAGTGATTCACCATTTCTTTTCATTTCATTCACGACCGCTTTCACACGACTAATATAATCATCGATGTTTTCTGTAATTTTCAGTTTTAACATCTCAAACTCAGTTCTAAGAGTTTGTAAACGTACCTTCTTTGTTTTTTCGACACCTTGAAGATATTTTTGCAAAATCTCTCATGCTTGTTTTGCTGTCTTCGCATCAAAAATTTTTTCAAAGGTAGATTCGTCTACTCCTCGAAAAATAAAGAACAACGCTCTTTTATCTTTTTTCCGGGATTCCTTCAATACCTTCTTTTCTTCATTGGCCATGACTGCTTCCTTGCTACATTTTCAGGCTCGGTGTAACCATCCTCGATGATATCCCAACAATCTTGGGAGCCTAGTAACGCCTTCATTTGAATTCTCCAATTGCCATAATTCGTCTTTGTCAATCTCGGGATTTATGGTTGAATCATGTTAGCCATCTTCTCCACCAAGGTAAACTCGAACCAAGCTCTATACCACTTGCTGGAAGCATAGATGGGCACTCAGTAATTTATAACTCGAACTATTATTGATACGAGACAAAATACGTTACAACGACGTTATCCCAATATTACAACACTACAACACTAGCTGCGACTAGTTTACAAACACAACCTCGCTATTCTAAGCTTTGCTAAGCTCTCTCAAATTTTCTCAAGCTTTTCTAAGCTTTCACTCATATTCCATCTCATTCATATTTTTTCTCATGTATTACATATATTAATGCTAAAGACATATTTATAAGGGTAATTAACCTCCTTAATGAAAGATTTAAGCATTTCCAAATTCTTCTTGTATTGCCACATGGAGTTCCTTGTCTTAATGAAATTCCTTTCCATCATCAATTGTCACATGTTTATTTTTCATGCTTAGTTCTTAAGTAATTCAAGAAGCTTCCACGTTGAAATGCTTAATTGTTAAGCTTGTACCTATTGCCACCTTTCTTGACTTTTCAATATTTAGAAGTCAAGTTTGATTTCTAACACTATATGTCTCACGTACCAAAGAGTAATTTATATTTTAGAAAGAATTCATTCCATGTATTGTTTGGAATAATAGAAAGTGGAAGAATCAATGATCACACTCACAATTTGTGTGCCAGAAAGTAAAAAGATTAAAAGCCGCTCATGATATGATTCATCAGCAAGATCTTCCAAGATTTGATAACGGTCCATTAGGGTGTCCATTGACAAACTACAAATTTATAGCACTATTGACCTTGATTATTCAATGAATTACATGAGGTATGCCGAACTACAATCTGCACAGGTTCTGAAAAAAGAATGAACCTGAAATCTACGCTTATCCCTTTAAGGCTTAAGCAACTCTTTTTTGTGCTATGCGTGACAAACAAAAACAACTCAACTAATTGGAGTTTGGAAGCTTTTCCCAACTGCTTCCCCTGGTCAAAACAAGTTCTATTAGAGCCTTCGTTCAGCAGGACTATAGGCCCCCTTGGCCTTATTTATTCCCTAATTTTAAGAGAGTTGCGTATCTTTTGTTTAGTTCACTTAACTGAGAGCCGAGCTGAGAGACGACTAATTTACACAATTAACGATTATGGCTTTGTTTGTATAACTGGAAACACTAAAAAGAAACCTTATGAATCAATGGGGGACTTTAGTTTTACATCAAAGCTCCTTGTCATCAACTTAAAGGTCAACCCTCTTGTTCAGTTTAATAAGCAAGGCACATGATAATATTTCTTTCTCATGTCATCACAACTTTGGCAGCTACTTCAAGGTTTTGAAATTTCTTTTGGGAAAAAGTGAAACACGTATTATTTTTAAAACCAGCTACAAGCCTAGAACCATTGGCAAATGTTACCGAACTGAACCCTGTGATATGAATGAAAGTATGAAAATTTTTCTTCACATGCTTGTAACAAAAAAATAAAAGGAAAAAAGAAACTATGAAGAAGTGAATCGTTGCACTTATTAAAAACTCTTAAACTGCTAAACTTTGGTGTTATCGAACTTATAAATATTCTGATTATCCCTTTGTTTTAGAAACATAGAGACTGTCCTTAGATATCGATTCTTTTCTTTTACCTTTTGTTTCTTGCGGTTCCTAAGGAGACAGGTCCCATCACTTTATGCCCGACCGTTTTGGAGGATATATTCGCTCGACCAGCTCAACCCCGCCATACTTTTCCTCCTGCTTATAAGGAGCTCCTTTCATGATATCTCCCCCATACCACCCCTTGAAGTTCAAGTAATTTTCTTCGAGAGAAACAACATCATCTTCTCCCTCGCATCCTTTTTACAAGCTTCAATTTATTCACTCTCTTTCAAGTTCAGGAACCGAGTTCTTTAGTTTTCAAACTTATTCCCCCTGCTTTTAGCTGTACTTAGATTTTCACTTATGGCATCCAATTTCCGCCTTTCTTTACATTGCTCTTGCTACTCCTGGACACCTAAGCAAAACAAAACGTTTGAAACGGCCCTGGCTAAATATGACCGGGACACCCCTGACCGCTGGCACAATGTTGCCAAGGCTGTGGGTGGGAAGTCAGCTGAGGAAGTCAAGCTGCACTATGATATCCTAGTCAAGGATCTCAAAGACATTGAGTCTGGCCAGTACCCGTATCCATATCCAAGTGGAAGCAGCGGCTAAAGCAGTGAGAATAAAACAGCGGTAATGTGCTCTACGTAAGTTTCACAGTACTGAACTCCAAAAAATTATCTAAACCACTTTTCATTATGCTTACAGTCCTATTTAATTGTCAGTATTAGCAAGGTATCCAAAGACACTTCAATCTCTCCAGTTAAGTGAAGAACCCTGTGATATGAATGAACTTCACATCCTAATAATGCAGCTTTTATCCTTATTTGTAATAAATAATCGAAACCTTACAGTGTTTATTCAAAGAAACATTGTTTCTGAGAACTATCAATGATGTGAAATCCATTAATTATACATCCTTGTCTTTCTAGCTCCACACACCAACAAGAACTCTTACTTAGATCATATACTGCCATTCCCGAAGCCCTTAAACATTGGTAACTGGAGTCCCCTTGTGGGTCCGTACTCTGAAAATGAGGAACAAGAACTCTTCAAGTCCCAGTTGTTTCTGTGGCCCAACAGTTCTTTTTTCTTCTTGTTTTTCCTACTGAGCATTAGGCAACCATCTTGTTCACTTACCTGCTTACCAAGTCATCATTTATGTTTGGTGTTCTTTTTGGGAACAGAACTCGTATAAGCCAAAAGAATAAAGCCAATATGGGATCTAATTTTACCCTTTTTGGATAACATGTCAATGGTTCTATATCACTTTATACCAGTTAAAGAGATTCCCATGTGGTAATAAATAAGGACCACCTTCTTCTGTTTGATTTGCATAAAGGATCACTTTGAAAAATCATGACCCAATAGTTTACCATCTTTATTCTCACTTTCTTAATCACTTGGACTCTTTTTTTTTTGTATTATAATTTATGCATTTGTTTTTACACAGAACCAAACCAATTGCTTTCCAACCTATTTGGAACCATTGAATGCATTATTGCCTGAACTGATAATGTTCCTTTTTTCCTTTTCTGAATCGTTTTGGAATTGTTTTTTTCCAGTGAGACATAAAAAGTCAACAAAATTCCTTTTTCCAAAGTCTAACCTGTATTCTCCTTGTCTTTCAGGTTTCCAATGAGTCAAAGACTAAGGTGAAAAATAATAAGATACCCATACAACCAGAGACCTCAATTGCAGAAAGACTAGAAAACTAGCATTGTATAATAGTAATCATAATATATATTACCAAAAAGAAAATCCCTACTTCATACTAGATACTGCTATTTACCATATGCTTTTGCATCTTTTTTGTATTTTCTTTTGATCTTGTATCTAGTTAAATTAAAATGTTAAACATATTATATATAGTAATTTACCTTGTCTGCTAATTTATTTATTAATTTGAAAAGGCCACTCTGATTTCAAGTTATAATTAAAAAAAGAAGAAGTAATTGATGACACATAAAAAAAGAACAAGTAAATAATTCAATGAATACACACTAAACTAAAAACAAGCAAGCGGCGAAATCCTTGAAGAGAAACGAACCTGATTAATTTCTGGAAAAAGGACCCGATCGAAAACCCAGTTGATCTAGCAAATCAGCTAAGAACAAGAAGAAATCGAGAAAAAAAATACTACGTAAAAATTGGTAATACTTGGGATAAAAAATATTTGTATATGTTCCATGATCAAACAAAAAAATATAAATGAAAATTCAAAAAGGTTCGATCTTCAATTTCTACAAATAAAGTGTCGAACACAGACCTGATTATAGATACAATGGGGTTTTCGACGATTCGTAAAGCGATACGATTCTCATTTTCCATCACACAAAAGAAATGTTCTGTATACCGTTATTTGAATTTCGGGAGAAAAACATTAGAAGTTGATAAGGTTTGGTTAAACGTAAATTTGTATTTAATATAAATGTAAAGAAGAACGTACGGTTTTGTGGCGGGAACTTGATTCTCCCGCACATAGTTCGATTATTTAAATAATATTGTTTTTTTATATATTAAATAAGGATAAAATATGCAAAATGGTTATTAAACTAGGTTAAAATATCAAGTCACTGAAGTTTTTAGAAATTGTAAAATAATCATTGAATTTCTCAAAAGTTACACATTTATCATTAAATTTATCCAATTATTACAAAATAAAATAATTCTTAAACTTATTAAAATTTATCACTATTTTATAATATACAATGATCACTTTATAATAATTCCATAAACTACAATTATCACTAAAATTTTAGTGATTATATATATAGAGAGAGGTGGGGTTCAAAAAACAATGCGATGTTTATAGTACTTAGATATCTCCCATTCATAAGTCGAAAGATATTAAGTATTTAAATATACTTGATTTTATGTTCTTATGTGTATTGTACCAATTATGGATGCGTATGAGACTCGGATCTGATCCTATAAGGTCTGATTTTTTAAATAAAGTTTGAGTTTAAGGTGGAAAATATTTGACCCAATAAAATGATATAATTATCCCCCATATATTTAGAAATAATTACGGTAGTATCTATCTTTCTATATATTTCAATTAGGTCCCTATTTTATCATATATATATATATATATATATATATAATTTAGGGTCGGGTGGAAAATATGTGTCGGGCCGGGTCAGGTCGAATGTAAGTTTTTACTCTTTGAGTCGGATTTAGGGTCGGATGGAGTCTTCCTAAACCCAAGTCAGATGAAGATATATAATACTTAAATCAAGTTCAGATCAAATTCAAATAGTCCAAAAATTCAACCTGATCCTATATATTAATATCCATCCCTAATACCAACTGAAATAAACACATTCAACATATTTCGAATACTGTCTTCCATGAAAGAGTCTCCCAATCATAATAAATCTCCTTCAAATCTTTAGTGTAGATACGGGGCCAACCGATCAATTGGTTGTACTTGGAACATAGGGAGTAAAATGAGGAGATACATTTAAAAAATAGCCCAGTTTGTACATCCAATACAAGATTTCTAAAATCTTGAAAACTACCAAAACTCTGCTTCAAAAGTTGTTAAGCATGTAAAATGGGAGTTATTGAACATGTCAGTGTCAACTTCCGGTTGCTCCGGCTTTAATTATAGACGAACGTATCAGACTTTATGGTAGGAACCAAGTTACCATGATTAATGAGTCCAATGGAACAATTATTGGGTCACAAGATTTTCATACATAAATTTGAACACCATTATTTACAAACTTGTGAAAGAGCTTAAGCCACCGAGTGCCAAGAAATAATGGGTTGTGGTTGAGATTCTAAATGGGTTTATAGTGGGATTTGTTCACTGTTAATTTAATTTAGGAGGTTTAAGGGTTTTTTTATTAATTTGAAGTGATTCTAAAATAGTATTTGTTTGAAAGATTTTTAATTATTTGATAATGAACATTTAAATATCTCTATAGATAATGTGTTCGAATTCGGAATATCTAAGAATAACAATCATTTCTTTAATCATTGAAGTCGCTTGTTCCTAAAAATATGTGAGACATTCCATTTCTTTTTAGGCTTAATATAAAAATAAGTGTCCAAATTATAAATCTTTTTTCATTTTGGTGTCTAAATTTTTTTGGGTCAATTTAGGTGCCTAACAATTTTAATGTTATCATTTAGGTACCTATGTCATAACCGTTAAAAATACATTAAAAATAAGTCAACCAATTAACATTTGACACGTGACTTTATTTTTTTATTTCATTTAATTTGTTAAAAATAAAAATTATAATTTTTCAAAAAAAATCCAATTTCTCATACTTTTCATAAAATATCCCAAGACCATCAATTATGACACCAACCACTACCATCACCGGTGATCATCAACTCACCTGTTGGTCATCAGCCCATTGACCACTTGTTGACCACTCACCCACTTATCGGGATGGATGGGTGTTGGAATTTAGAGATATTGAAGCCACAATTGACCGTCGATGATGGGTGGGTAGGCGGCTGGTGGGGACGACAGTGGCAGTGGATGGACGACGGGTAGGGTGAATGCTTTGAGATTAAATATTTTGAGATTTTAGAAATATTTTAGGGTTTTTTTAAATATTAACAATTTTAAGTTTTTTTTTAAAAAAAGTAAAATTTAAAAAAAAAATTATAAAGACACCATGTGTAACATTTTGAGTGATTGACGAATTTTTTTTAACGTATAATCCGGTCGATGCACCTAAATGATAATATTAAAAATATTAAACACCTAAATTGACCAAAAAATAAACGTATGATGGGAAAAGAGATAAAATTTGAACATTTATCTTTATATCAAGCATTCTTTTTTAAAATTCTTTTTAAAAATATATTTTATTTAAAAAAATTAATATGTTTATTAAATAGATACAACGAAAAAAATCGTTAAACTCGTGTCTTATCGTCAACGTTAATATCAATTATTTTGTTAAGTAAAAATAAAATATTTAAAATATAAAAATATTAGAAAGCATTCTAATATGAAATTATCCTCGAAATCGATACATTCTCTAACGAGTTAGCTACTTTTCTTACGTTTGTTTTCTCTTCATAGCTTGTTTACTGTTATGCAACCACACCTTGAAAACCTGTCTCTTAACTCCCACTTCACCACAAAATTGCTGCACTTCTTGATCATCTTGTTTCTGGATTCTCCAACCCAACTTCTCAGCAAATCCCATCATCTTATCCTTTTGATCTTTGCTGAACTTTGTTCTAAACCTCTTCTTTGATGACTGTAAACGCGATGAATCTCGACCTCCTGTAAACATGTTCAGATCTTCACTCGATGACTCCGTTCGGCCGCCGCCAAATTTCATCGTTCTGGCCGGTGCAATCGGCAAACAAGGAGTGGTACTGTTTGACAATCCAAGGGGAAATCTTTGTTGACGAAGAGGCGTTGGTTGTTGATGAGGATGAACGGTACAGTCTCTTATCGTATTGTTTTTGTAGCAGGGAAAAGTACAGCACGTGGTTGTGGGATACTGCAATTCGCCGTTGATTTCTTTTCTATGAAAATTCCTATGGCATTCACAGGCCGCACATTTCAAGGCTTCCTCGGTGCCATCTTCGCCGCTTGGAATGAATTCTCCGCAGCCATCGACGACATAGCCGCCCATGCTGGCCGCGTGGTTCTTCAAACATTCGCTATATCTGATCAAATGACCATCGTCCGTCGGGGGCTGTGGAATTAAAGCTGAAACCGGATCTGGGTCTTGGTCCGAATCCATTCCCGGTCGTCTATTTGATGCTGAGTTCGGTTCAGTGTGGTGATCTAGGGTTCTGGGTTGGTATATACTATATATATAGGTGCAGTAGAAGATGAGACTTTTAAGCAAGATTATCTATTGAGATTATTATTATAACTAAAAGAGTTGGCATCTCCATTTCCTTATCTTTGCCTCTAAATTCCATTAAAACCCTGATTTCTAATGTAAAAACCTTGAAATCTTGATCTCCGCCACCTTTTATTAAAGTAAAATACAATTTTAAACATTTCCTGCAATCTTTCTAACCCTAATTCACCATCATTGGTGTTTATTCACCTAATAATTATCTAAACAATAGTAAGCATGAGACTATATAATAAGGGGACCCTTACAGCCTTACTGGTACTATATATATATATATATACTAAAAGTTCTGGAAAGAACTTACCTTTGACGGATTAAACTGATAACAGCAGTTTAATTTTGACGTTCTAAAATGTACAGAACTGTTGCATGAGGAAGCAGATGAGAGAAAGCATGTTTATTTTAGCGTAGATTAAGGAAGGGAAAAACGCTAAAGTCTTATAAAACTGATAAGGGCAGGAGAAAGAGGTTAAGAATAAGAAGGATATATGAGAGAGGTTTTACTTCCTACTCACCCATCAAAGCCCATAAATCCATATAAATAAAGCAACAGGTGTGGGTTGTTTTGTACTAAAAAAATACCAGTGATTAGTATTAACGACTGTGCCACACTAGAGAGAGACCTAGTACTCTTACAGAACAACCGACAAGGCCACGTTAATTCTCTCAGAGCCAGCACACCGGTCCAGCTCCTAATTATTGCCTCCTTAAAACCTAGTTTTAAGCTGAAGCAAACACTCAATTGAATTATAAGCTGAAGCCAACATATGTACATAATATTAGTATGTGATTTGGCGTAAAGGCTTGTTTGCCTGGAATCTTCCTGCAACCTCAAGAACCCAAACTAGGACAACTTTAGACCAGTGCTTTGAGATTTGGGAGTTCAAGTTTTAAAAGCTAAAGAATAAAGATGGATCATCAAAGGGGGGAGAGAGAGAGAGAGGAGGAGGACCCCCCCCCCCACGGGCTTTATCTTTTATGTTGTGCAGGAATTTAAGTGCGGAGAAGTTGATCCATAGCTAACACTGCACTTGTCCTTTTAGTGTGTGTGTGTGTGTGTGTCAGATTCCCTATTCATTCTCTCTCTCTCTACTTGAAGGCTTGGTTTTCTTTTAGGTGCGTCTGCTGCAGGCTTGGTTTTAGGGCTGGCAGAGAACTGGTCAACTTTTTTTTTCTATTTAATGGATGTGTTATGTGTTTAAATACATGAATTTGTTTGAACTTGAATTTTATTAAGGACCAGGGACCAGCTTTTTATTGTTGTTAGATTTTTTTAAAAGTGCTGTATAAAATAATCTGATTTTAGTAGTTTAGGGAAGTAATTCTCCTTGATGACCCATATTCAAGTTATATAAATTATGAGATTTAAGTAGTTTAGGATGTTAAAAGATAGGTGTTATACAAAAGTGTGATTACCTAAGTTAAAGAACGTGTTTATTCTAGGGTTTGAGGTAGGTTGAGTGGGTTTTAGGAAGGAAAGATTCGAAGTTGGAACGGATTCGAGTTTAGAATAAAAATTCTCCAATAATATTTTTAATTTTATGTTTATTTTATAATATTTACGAAAATGCCATTGCTTGTATATTAACTTTTAGGATTTCTTTCTTTACCCCATTGGTCATGGCTTATAAACTTATGTCACGTAAAATATAGGCATAACCTCGAAAAACAATCTGAAAGACGAGAAACACTAAAGTAGTAGCATTTATGTAAAGTATAAAACATGCTAACGGTTAGCGTTGAGGGGAAAAATAACAGTAAGTGATACTTATTCATCCCCTAAGGATGCGGATGTTGATCTAATCTTGATGCTGATCTTGTACTTAAATCTCAGACATGCCATTTCTAGACAATAGGTGAGTTCTCTCAGCTCGCTCGCTGTGCAATGCGTGCTGGCTCCGGCGTTGCCGAATGTCCATTGCTGATTTGGTGGGGTTTCTCATCAATTCCCCAGAATTTAGCAGTCTTTACATCATCTCGAGCCATCGATCGTGAGAACTCTTCATGGTCATACTTCAGTGTCGCGTTTCCCCCGAATTCACTGGGGAGGTTCTCCACATCAAAGTAAGATTGCATGAGCTCTACACTGTCTTTGCTTTTAGGATAAACAAACTTCACCTTCTGAGCTGTTTTTGGATCCAGAAATAACCTGACAGCCTGTGGAAAATGCACAAAGCAAAAAATAGCAATCAAAGATCTTGTAAGTGATACTTCATGTTAAAGATTAAAATATTGCAGCTTCATGGAGCTAAGTAGACAGGTTTTATGCTAGTTCGCATCCCATACAAGAAAATAAAGGGGATAATCATTTATACTTCATGGACAATATCTAGCCTTTACGTTGCTGATTTCATTTTCCTTCAAAATACCTGTATTTGACTATGTTACTCAAATTTGAGTGTTCGTGTCAGATAAGACTATGTTTAAACTATTTTTAAGTACTGGAGGGTCCTTGCAGGATTAATCTCTGTGCCCATGTCCGAATGCGTCACGTGTGGATCACGTACATAGATACTTCCATATCCCAATGCAGGTAAGGGGATATTTTCAGAAAGCAAATTGGCAGTCTTATAGAATGCTTAAATAGTACAAGAAACCAAATGGTAAGGCAGGAAATCAAACCTTGTAGAATGCTTCAAAAAACCTCGGTGGATTGTACAAGAAAGCGATTGCCAGTCTCTCTGGATAGTGACTCTGAAGAATGTAAATGATATCTCGTGCTGTTCTGATGGGAACACTGGTGCTTAATGAAAAGCCGGTGAAGTCTATCAACCATGACATTTGTTCTTGGCCCTCGGAGAGATTAAGGATAGCATTTTCTATGAGATAAACCAAATGGCGGATATTATTTTCTGCAGATATTGTGTTCTGCAAAAAGAAAAAAAGGTGGAAAAATTAATAGAGTACGATTGGTGACCCAGAACAAACTGAATGAAACCCAGTGCAAACCTGCATTCCAGGCCTCATTATAAGCACCGTTCTTCCTTGACGGTCATGGAAGTTCGCCCGGGAAACTTTTCCGGTCTCACCTTCATGTGCCACTTCATGCTGGAGAAGAACATGCAGTGAGGCAAGTTTGAGAAACCAGAAATAAGAGCATTTATCACCAAAAATTGTACTAGTTATAAACGCGTAATCATATGCAAAAACAAGAATGGAACATGTGATCCATGATCAGGTAGAAGGAAAGAACAATTATCCAGTTTCATAATCGTCAAATATAATTGATCTAAAGAAGTTTCAACTAAAACTTATTAAACAAAGTTTCAAGTATTCTAATAGCCTTTGGAATCTCATCTGGAACTAAAAAGATACAGCTTGATCACTGTATGTTGCTCCAACTATTTATTTTTGTGAAGGATCCATATTCAAATATAAGTATAGGATATAATAATCCAAAGACACAAGATAGATGAAAAACTTGAAAAAATAACATATCCATGTTGAGTACATGTCCCTATATCACACCAGCAACCAAGTTTGAGTAACACACACACACATATATATGCATTGCTACCATAGAGGCAGGAATCATCAAACATACCCAACGGATTTCTTCAGGCTTATACGTCAAACGCCACTTTATCGTCTCTTCCAACATTCTCTTTGCCTTAAAAACATTCCAATTCCGAGCTTCTAAATATCTCCTGAGGCATGCATCGGTACAGTACATTGAACTGCGCCCAGACAGGGGTCCTATTGCAGTCCTGAGTTCACTGATCTGCACATCAACCAAGTATTTAGAGTTAACTGCAACCGAAAAATTTATTTTAAATTACACATTTCATCTTGATACTACAAATTAACAGCCATGTTATTCAAGCATCCGGTGTGCGTTAGTTGCAAAATGTGCCTAACACAGATATATTTGTATTAGGATATGTGTCGAATACCAGTGTCGAACACAAATACTACAAGAAAAATGAATTAAACTTATTCTAGTGATCAAGTCCATACAACAAAAAACTCAGAATATTTTTAGTCTCTAATTTGACGCCTCCCCTGTTTTTAACATCTAGAGATCAAGTCCATAAACTTTGAACCGAATTAATTAAACTTATTCTACTTAAAAATCAGTTATATATATATATATATATATATATATATGAAAATCACCTTCGCATCTCGTTGGTCAGAATCGTCCTTCTGTGTATGCTTTTTAAGAAGAAACATTTCACTGCAAATTAAGTCGATCACAAACTAAGTAACCCCAACTTTACAGTTTAAAAGATGAAAATAAAATAAAATAAAATAATTACTCTAATTGATTATTAATAGCACAAACTTAACAGCTGCCATTAAGTTTGAATTCCTTACCTAACAAGAAATCAATATACATTAATCATCTTAAATGAAAATTCGAAAAGTAACGCCAATAAAGCCATTTGACATATCAAACATTCACTGAACGAATAACAGAGGCCAGAGCTCTTAAAGATCCGTCAATTTTGAAAACAGATCTATCTCAACGTTAACTTTCAAAAAGAAAAGAAAGGAAACAGAGTATTCTCTTCAAATCTTCTAAACACAAAAATTAGAAATAAATTGTGCCGGAAAATTTAAAATGAAGATGAACCGGTCAATGCATATAGATCTACTTCACAACTCAACAACACTACAAGTATTGGCGAAAAAGAAATATTATTTTATAAATTGTGCTGAAAAAGAAATATTAAAATAAGAAGAAAGGGGGGAAATACCTGATTAAGCAAAAACCAGATGAATATCGAAACTGTCAGAGGCAATGAGAATATCGAAAGTTTGAGCTGAATATTTTCCTTTATTAATGGTGGGAAAGCAAGAGGACCGGAGTATAGTTTTTAGTTTTATTTTAAAGTACATCATACGTTACTAAACTATGTTTAAATGATTATTTTGGCTATTCAACTTTAAAAATTTATAAAATAATCATTATATCTGTCAAACTATTATAAAATAATTATTTTTGATGTTATAATAATTGAAAAAAAAATTAGATTAATTTAGTTACTATTTTGTAACGGTTCAATAAAAAATTATGATATTTCATAATAATTTAATAAATTTAATGATCATTTTTAACTTTTAAAAATTCAATGACAAAAACAGTCTTTTATCATATTTCATTGACATTTATTATATTTTTCCCTTTATTTTGTTAGCTAAGCACACAAAGCGTGGGACTTGCAAGTTTGATTTTAATATTCGTTCTTGTTAAGGCAATGTCAATTGAGCTTTACCTAAATCAATAATTCAATTTTAACTAATCTAAACGTGACATTTGTCTTCTTTAAATGCACTCAAGGATTATCATCGTAATAAGATGATCCATTAAGATCATAGAAGAATTGAGGGATATTTGGGTGTAAATGAATCGAGCTTTTAAACGAATAAGATTGTATTCGTGTTTATTTGTTTATTTTTAAAGATATTCATGTTCGATTATTTATTTTTAAAGGTGTTCGTATTTGTTCATTTAGCGTCCACGAATATTTTTGTTTGATATTCACAAACATGTTTATTTAAGATCCATTTATATGTTCGTTTAGTATTCGTTCATATTATCACGAATATGTTTATTTAGCGTTTGCATACCTATAGATTTGCAAGCTAAAAATGGTAAAATTATGTCACTAGTGCTTAACCTCTTGAATGTTCTTAGTTTAAACTCCAAATGTTAACATTTGTTTAATTTAGTTCATATATTCACTAATATAAAAATTTTATTCATACTCATTAATTTAGCTTAACAAATAATCATAAGCGAACGTTATACGAACAATTTACGTATAGTTCACCGAACGTTTTATTCGTTTACACTCTCACATGTATTCTCTTAACATAAAAATCATTAAATCAAGTATTCTAGCCATATAATTGAGTATGGATGACAAATCATTGACTGCAAAAAGTTTTTTTCATACACTGGATAAGAGGATGAATGTTCATCGACATATACAAGCAAAACCCAAATCTTTAACCGAAAACAATCGACAAATAGTTGGCTTTGAAGGCCTTAAACTTCAATGCAACCTGCTTGCTCTCTGCTTCATCTGTAATAACTTGAAAAATAATAAATAAAAATAAACTCATGAGATTTTGCAAAGGTTTTCAAATCCCATATACTCTTCATCTTCCAGTTTCTCAACCATATCAGCAATGCCAACTCCACCTGCCAACATTCACCAAAATATATGGTTCAGCTCAGCTTCATATGATTGAAGCAAAGGAAAGCAATGTATTACCCAAACTGATTGCACTGATAAAGATCGTCAATGCTAGTACGAAGATGATTATCGATGCTCGTCCGAAGACTGCGATGATTTTTCGGACTACATGCTGGCCCGTGAAGGCTGCAATGGTGGCTACCAGAACGAAATAAGCAGCTGCAGGGTAAACAAAAATTTAACAACACGACTGTAACTCTGTAAGGCCAATGAATCCTAATGGTGATCCTTTTTTAGTGCCATCGTTACTTACCATATGGGATCGGGAAACGATTTAGAAGATAATATTGTACGACCGACATCGAGGACGAGAACACCATGGAAAATGTCGAAGTTGCACTAGCTACCTGGAGAATTGCATAGTAACATTATCAATACAGCCTGCATTTAATGTCTTTAGATGCAAAACTTGAATCAGAGCTTGAGAACATGAATCATTTTTCAACTTCTGATTTACATGAAGTCCCCTATGCATTTCCCTACGTGTCCGGGAGACGACTCACCGCAATGTATACTTATATCAAAGGTATTATCCTCTTTGAGCACGTAACGATTCCTCAAAGATCTACTATCTGCAGGTGTGTCACTTTTAGTTCGAATCAATGATCTCTCCAATAAGGTCATATGTGAGAGGCTCCTGGTTCGAACCAAGTAGGCACATTGCAGTTCACAAAGCTTCAAGAGACCAGTGAATGTCCACAGAGAACAATACCTTCGACGTAGATATTCGCTAAAGCAGCAACTATATTTCGATACCATACCTGAGGGGGAATTCCAAGTTCAAGGAAAAGAGGACCCAAGATGAAGCCACCTCCTAAGCCAAGCAGACCACCAACCACACCAGCAATTATGCCACAAGAACAGTAAAGAAGAAGCTGATATATCTTCCAATTTGTCACTTCCTTTCCTTTTGATGCAATCACCCTTCTCCCTTTGTATAAGCATATGGCTTCAAAGGCTGTCACAGAGGCAGCAATAGGTATCTAGAGAAAAAAGAAAAACAAAGATAACCATAAGAAACTCTAAATTCTCTGTTCTGTAAATATGTCCATTTCAAGTTTTTGTACCTGCAAGGAGTTCACAATCCAATACATGACTGAGCAAGTCTGAAGATATTCCTTAATAATCTGAACCACAAGAAAACCGATCCATACGTAAACGAGCAGCGATAACTCTTTCCAGTATATGTTTTGTACCAGAGGAACCTGAATCGAGTGATCAACAACGACAACAGCTGATTATAACAAAGAATATAAAAGACTGTCGTTGTACGACAACTGAAAATGTTCTTAAACTCACGTCATCATCATATTGCATGGTGTTTGGGCCACTAGGTAACAGTTTATAATCTTGAACAGCTCCATCTGCAACTCTCAAAATTTTAGCACAAGCCATTTGCTACATTTCAGCTATGGATGAAAAGCTATTTTGGGGGGTCAATAACACACTCACCGGCTTTCGACTCCTCAGCTTCTAACCTTGCTGCTTCCTGAAAATAGAATCTCAAAACCCTCATTAATAATCCAGTTCATGGAAATACTGAGTAAACAAATTGAAAATTCTACCTTTTTCATCACTGTCTCTTTCTTCCATGTATCTACACCTTTGATTAAGGCTTTAGTAGAAGTACCTGGCAATGACATCATTTATATATAAAAAAAAAGAACTATCATAGTTCATGATTACCTATGTTACCCAGACAATGTTACATTTTTTTTTTATATAAAAAAATGAAGAGTCGGGATAACATATTATTACCGATGAAGAGGATGATAAGCAAAAGCGTAACCATCCAATCCGCAAACAGGATATTGAGGGTAACTCCAATGCTGATTCCAAGCATAAGCATAGGCTGGAAGAGCAATGCCAAGTCATAATCTATGAGGGGCATTTCCAGTGTTGGGTGCCTAAGTCTCAGGTTATAGTACACTGTTGATCCAGCGGCACCCATGATCATACCTGAAATCTCCCAAAAAAATATATTTGTTCGAGTTTCGTTGTGTCGAAGTGTAGAATAATGACTGTAACATCACGTTGTGATCGATATCTAGAAAAAGAAACTCACACTTGGAAATGGCAGTGGAAGACTTGGGGTCAAAGCCTATGATTAAAGTGAGCATTGGAACAAAAAATCCACCACCACCAACTCCTCCAACGCTACCCAAAGCTGCACCAAGGAATCCAACAATTGTTCCCACAACTATTTTCCAACCAAACTCCATCTCCTGCTCAATCAACAATTGATTTCAGTTATCAAAACCAAACAAACTTGAATGATGTTCAAAAAGGTTCACCGGCGGGTAACTTACCGGCCAAACGGGTTCATAGGCCGCCTTGCCGCCTTTCCATAGGAAGCTGACAACTCTAGGTAGAAGGCTTTTAGTTTTTTCTTTGAAAACTTGGTGATTTGTTTTGTCTTTCAATGTTCTTTCAGCAATCCCCGCATTGGTCATCATGACAAGAACTAGAAAGGTTGCCCATGCTACCATTGCCAAGCCTCTCCGGTTCACTTGAAATTGAGCCATTTTGGCTACTGCTTCTGAATTATTAGCAGAGAGGGAATCAAATGAAAAACTTTTCCTGGTAATAAGTTTTCTTAATTCTCTTCTAATTCATCTTCCCTCACAGCACAGCAGCATACAAAATGGAGAAAAGCAGAAAATTTGAAGAACTACTGATCGGTTCACTCTTTTGGTACCTCCCTGGTGTCTACATTTATAAAACACTCTCTCACAAGAGGTAAGTATACATACGGATACGTATTTGGCACGTATTCATACCCGAATCAAGTTGTCCACACTATTGTGGTGAACAGAGGAAGGTAAACGATGAAGCTAAGACAGAAGAGTTGAGGGAGGTGGTGAGGGTTGAAGGAAGCTTCCCCAGAAACAGCATTTTGTTAAAGTTACATTAAAAGAACGGATTTAGCATTGATCTAAAGCAAAATCCTTATGAAGCTTCATAGTTGGTTCGATGTTGAATCCAAGTTTGGATTCTTCTTTGGTTTGATCTCATTATCAAATGTCTGTTTGCTGGGTTTTTTTTGGAACTTTCTGCCTTGTGTTTTGGTCCAGAAAGAGAGGTTCAACTAGGCATGAGAGGGTTTTCTGTTCCATTGTCATTGAATGCAACTTTCTTTTACAAGTTTTAGCAATGAAACATTTGTCCAACGTGTTGAGATTATACGGATCACCGGAGTTGACCGTTATCTGATTTGGGGCCGTTGGTGTAAACGTGACGAGAGAATTAACGGTTTTGTTTGTTAAATTTCTCATACAATATAGTAGGACGGGCCACGGGCAGTTGATCCCAAACGCTGCCGTTTCATTTCCTTTGTTTTATTTTTTACCGGTACGTGCCTTTGACCACCTTTAAGAAGATGAGATTTCTATAACTTTGGGCTGGGCTGAGCTGGGATCCATTATGGTGTATATTTTTCTTTTTACTATCGATTATTATTATTATTATTTATATTTTAATGTACCTTTTCATTTATTTCCACGACTTACTAGAATATTTTTCACTTGAAATATTTTTTCTTTTAAAATTAATTTATTATTTTTTTATTAATTTTTTTTTTATATAATTTCATAATTTCATAATAAAAATAATTAATGAAATTGATGTAAATATCTTTTGAATTCTATTAATTTTAAATATGACCAAGTTAATCTCTTAACATAAATTGAAATTTTAATTTGAAAATTAATATAAAATTAATTAAATTTTAAAATTAATTTAAAATATAAATTATAATTTAAATACACGATGTGCAACTATCTCGAAAAGAAATGGTGCAAAGTCGTTTCCATAATAACAACCATTTCGTTGTGCCAAAGGAAAATTGGGCAAAAGTTCCCACATAATGCATGTGGGAATGTTTAATTCCCAAAATAAAGAACTCATGGCATTATTTCCCCAAATAAGGTGAATGCTACACGAAAAATGCAAAGCTTGGGATGTCTCGGCGTTTTTAGTGTGTTGCATTCGTTCAAGGGATATCTCAGCGTCTTCATCTTTGTTGCTACAACGTTGCTGCTGCTGCTACCAAGCTGCTGCTGCTACCAAGCTGCAACCAGTGACCTTTTCATCTGAAAAATGACGTGCCCTTGTGATTGCTCTCCAAACAAACGCAGATAAAGATTGAAAAGAGGAGATTTTGCGTTAGCCCATTTTTTGAGCTCTACGATGGCCTTGTCGAGAAGTGGAATATTCTCTCTAAGAGCTGTGGTGCTTCAAAACTGCTGATAATTAACTCATCTTTGTGAGCGGGCAGAAGTTTAAGCAATGGTCCATAGTTGTAACACCCTCACCCATACCCGACCCGGATACGAGTCCAGGATGTCACATTGACTAAACCAAAACAATACTCTAAAAAACTGATAAAACAGTTGAACTTGTATTATTAAAATACAACAATATACATATGTTAATACAAGTTTATCAAAATACTCAGAGCATACATATCTCGACCCTTTGATTACATGCCAACATTTATTTACATAACAAAAGAACCTACTGATTAAGTTGCCTCTGATATGATAGTTGCAGGAGTAGTGTTGTCCAGCTACTTAACATGTCTCGTCTACTTTCTCGGATCCTACGTGTGAAACACTCACACGCTAAGTCATCGACTTAGTGAGGCAATATAATAATAATAAGGAAATATCATGAGAATGCCAAAATAAAATGAAATGCAATAACATATGTATTTAATATGTATAATGTCCATAACCATGTTTCCTACACATAGACTCATCACATTAACACTCATAAGTTCATATTAATCAGTTCAATAGCCCATGATACCATACTGAGAACCTAAGGTATGTGAGTACTGTGAGGTTGTGCACTATGCTGTCACCACAACTCGTATAAATGCACCGAAGTGCCACGTAGAATTGCACCGAAGTGCCACGTAGAATTGCACCGAAGTGCCACGTAGAATTGCACCGAAGTGCCGCGTAAAATTGCCCCGTAGTGCCGCGTAGAATTGCACCGTAGTGCCATATAAGATTGTCCCTAAGGACCACGTAGATAATTCCTTAAGAATCATATACATATGCCAAGGATCAAGTATGTGTCTTAAAGACCTCACACATGTTCCAAAGAATACATATATATCCCGAAGGACCGCGTAGACCCTCTACTCTTGTCATGCCAATTATACCTATAGTTCTCATCTACATAACATAGGATTTTCCCAATTTACATAGTATATCACATAGACATATTATTTCCTTAGCTTCATCACATGGCTCATATAACTTTGCATACATATTCATTTAAAACATGTTACACAATGTACATAGTATGAATTCATATCATGCTTCACAATATGAAATGAATCATGCATCAATGTATTGAATCTAGACATCTCACAAGTCTAGAACTGAATATACCATTATATTCATGCTATGCATATGCGCTCACCTATATTTCCTTGTTTTTTCCTCGATCGATCCTACTAGGCAATTGTTCTGGAACTTGTTTAGGCTCTGTATCTACATAGTAATTCATTGATACTTATCAGCATATTAATTAATATATTCTAAACTATCATTTCTTGGGCAAAAAGAAAAGCCATTTTCATCTTTTAATGAAGGTATGCATCGATGCACTACACCATGTATCGATGCATCCCTTGACGGGTGCATCGATGCACTATCTATGCATCGATACATAAATCTTATTCGATGTTTGTATTTAAGGGGGTGCATCGATGCACTACTTGTGCATCGATACACTGATGGCATTCGATGTTTGTATTTTAAATTAGTGCATTGATGCACTCCATGTGCATCGATACACCTTGAACAATTTCTGGAATTTATTCTTGATGCATCGGTACACTTTGAATGTGCATCGATGCACATTGCCCAGAAATGTCATTTTAGCACGAAAATCTCTTCATAAGCTTCTCAACACTTTATATTTTCCCTCTTTTATATCACTCACTTGCATACACTTAAACTAATTATTATCCATTCAATACTTCTAAAACTTATAAATCCAATCCTCCATATGGAATTTAAGAATCTCACTCAATTTCCAACATGTTCTAATTTTAATTCTATCACTTCCTATTCCTTAATTAGTTGGATGACAAGTCAAATCTCACTTCTAATTCTTATTAAGAACTCTATTCCAAGATTTCGCTTTTTTACTTCCTTTCTTTAATCCTTCCTAACTCCATCATCTTTTGATTTTAAGATAACCTAAACTTTCCTTAAGCTTAGTTATCATCTAATGATCAATAAGAAACCTTAAATTCATCAAGAATTTGATTAACAAGAAAACTCACCTTTAACTTTGTCTTCACGGTGAAGAAGAAGAAAGAAGAAGAAGAGAAATCTGGAAACTTTGGTCTTTCTCACTAGCTTCCACGTGGGTATAAATATCTTCAACTAAGATTTAATTATTTTCCTTGTCAAAAGACTCATTTGCCCCTTTAATTCCACATTCTTTGCTAATTGATCCTACACCAAACATTTCAATCAATTCTTTGAACTTTTCAATTTATCCAATTTGGTCAATTCCGATCTCAATTCCCTCTTGGCGAAGCTATCTCGCCAAGTGTGTTCCCAGGAAGTCGAATTGCTTTCTATAAGCCGAATCTTCCTCCCACACGTTTAATCGCAACAACTTCTTGACCAAAGTCAATCTTCGATTTTTGAAAACTGTTTTGATTTTGAAAAAATAAGCACAGAGATTGAGAGAGAGATTCCGAAGATATTAAGGGACCGTTTCAATTCTCCCGTTGGAATTGAATCATCACGACAGCTCTCGGCTTATGAAAAGTTTAGCTAAGCATGACAAAAGTCATTCTTAGCATAAAAATAAAACTTGAAAATAAAGAAAAATAAAAAGAACTTGAAAAGGAAAAGAGAAAACTTTTATTAAAACTAGAGAGAAAAGAAGAATGTATTCTGAATGATGTGTTTAGGCTTACCCCAAGTGGGTATTTATAGCCTCTCAAAGCCTAAAGGATAAACAAAGAAAATAATAAAATAATACAAAAGATAATTGTGTTTAAATTTAAATTCAAACTTAAACTAGTCTCCTAATGCAACTTTGCTCGTCAATCTTCCAGAAGGCGTGCAGACGAAGTCGCCTAGAAATCGCCGCTGACTGGATCTTCTAGAAACTACCATGTCAGACCGCGTCGTGCCCAGAGTCGTGCCCATGTCTCCAGCCGTGACCAAATAATAAAAAAAAATGCAGAATTTGCCCGTTTTATCACCAATTCTGGAAAGTAAGGACCTGCACGAAAATAGACATAACACAACCAAATCAGCTGTAATAACTTCACAAAATCGAAGAAATAACGAACAGATATTAACGATTCTGAACTCTCATCAAATTTCCCCTCACTTATCTCATGCTTGTCCTCAAGTATGATTAACCAAATCAGTCAAAAACTTCATTAAACGTTCTTTGTCAAGTTTCATATTCAAGGAAGCAAGGTAGAGACCACAATAACTATTGAAGTTAAGAAATCAATCAACTGAACATCACCAATTGAAACAAGTCAAGTGCAATTGTAATATCCATTCATTCATAGATCTCAATGCTCATAACTCAATACCTTACCGGGATTCACTCAAATCACTCAATGTGTTTGGGGTAAAGAAACGCTCAATGTCAGAATCGACACGATATTACCATAAGCCTGCAAGTAAATCAAATCTCCACTACTAATAAGAACAAGAAGCA